TCACTGCTCTCTATGACTATAGAAACAAGGTTACCACGTTCTCTGCTTTAGAGTTGACAACTCTTCAAGGAAAGTGTGCTCCTTGCTGAGGTCGTGTGAAACACCTGGGTATCTGACTGAACATGTGAAAGGTGTGAGAGTTGAGCAAGTAAAAGAGCCAGAAATTCTCTCCTGGAATTGCGTTGAAATAGCTGACCATCTGGCTGGAGTATATGAGAGTTGAGCAAGTAAGACAAACACTCCATCGTGCATGTTATATTGGAGTCACGTGATGGTCATTTAGAGACTTCACCAATATTCCAGCGAGCTCGATTTAGAAAACATCAAAAACTTGTTCTGGTGCCTTTAGATTCTCTATACATCCATCGCTCTGGAACCGATTGACATCAAGCGTGTGAAATGAAGACACCGCACATATGCTGCTGTGAAGAGCTTGGATGCGGCTCTGAAAGCTTTCAGCTCGATGGAAGCTTTCACCGAGGCAAAGCTAGAAACCAGCAGAACGGCGCCATCCACGAAGCCAAACTGCGAAGACTCCGCTTAACACGCGCAACCGAGAACCAATCTACTCCTTTGCAAACTCTTGGGGTCTCTAATTCCTATAACTTGTCTATCAACAGGACATCGAATATCGGGGCAAGTACCCCCACGTCTCATCATCTCACTACTTACCTGATTGACGATTTTTTCTACTCCAATAGCGGCGAAGATCTCTGAGTACCGGGGACTTGGATCAGATCAACACGGAATCCTCCAGGGGTCGAAGCCAGGGACCTTTGTCGACATCTTTGCAAGGACGACGAAGTAGCTCGCAAAGGATTCGAGGTACAAATGGAAGCACTACGCTCGGTGATTGTCTGATCGTCTCCACGGCGGCCTATCAGATACCGAAGGGCTATCTTCAGCGACCAGCATGCCTCATTGGAATGCTACAAGTCGCGCATGGTGCGATTCTCAAAGGGGTCAAGCATAGAACAAGCCAGACTGCCCTTCACATGAATAAGCTGCAAATCGAACAAACGACTATAGACGCCAATTATACCGGTCGTGCTTACTGGGAGGACCTACCCTTATCTCTCCCAACGCTGTACACAATGCTGAATCTTGAAATCAAGTTGGAGTCGCAGATTTTGTGTCCGGAATGCTTCACCCTGCATGGTACACCTTTCGAAAAGATTGATGAGACTTACAAGATGAAGTGCGATGCTTTACGATTTCTACGTCAGCCTGATCAACCAAGGGGCACACCAGTCACGCGTCACCAATGCGGCGGAACCC